ATTCGAGGAGATTAAGGAGTATCTTACTCAACCGCCGGTTCTTGTAGCCCTAAAATCAGGAAAGCCATTCCTGTTGTATGTGAGAGCCATGGAACATTCTCTTGGAGCTTTATTGGCCCAGAATAACGATCAGGGTCAAGAGCAAGCCATCTATTACCTAAGCAGGACTATGATGGGAGCCGAACACCGATACAATCCAGTTGAAAAAGAATGTCTCGCTTTGGTATTCGCAGTTCAAAAGATACGACATTACCTAGTTGGACAAACAATTCACGTCATCTCCAAGGTGAATCCCTTGAGAGTTCTGATGACAAAGCCATCATCTCTAAATTGCCGACTCGTAACATGAGCCATTCTCTTGTCACAATATGATATGCAATTTATGCCCCAATTGACAATCCTCTGGCTAAACAATGCGTTGGGCTTCCAGGTAGAAAACGGAATCTGCGTGAATGCTCGATTCCATCCATCCTCCAACTCATTGTTTGTCTACAATAAATAACAAAATACAAACACTAGACAAACAATATTAGATGTAAATTGTTTGTTAAATCATAATCAAAACAAGAAGGCCAACAATCTTCCCCTTTTTGATGATGACAAACAATTTACAAAAAGGATATATGCATGAATACAAATGAATATATAAATTATAATTCACATGCATATATGAAAGGAAATGTATACTCACAATATTTCTCCCCCTTTGACAACATCAAAAAGGGGACAAAAAGAATAAAGAGAGCGAAAGCTCCCCCTATCAATAAGCATGGGTGAGTACAAAACAAATATAGGGAATAGCTATCAAAATGCCTCATGAATGTATGAAATGAATGCTAAGGCATACATATGTGAGAAAGCATAGATTAAAAAAAAGCTAAACACAACTCACATACATAAAAACAATGAGAACATATATAAATATATCAAAGTGAACATAGTGTCTCATATCAAGGAACATAAAAACCATGTATAAGAGTAGATTTATGAAATAAAAAAAAAGGAACATGAGAATCATGCAAAATATTTTCAAATAAAAATAAATCAACCAAAAGAAATCATAAATCAAAGTTTAAATCCAAAAACGTAGAATCAAATCATCATTGATTCAAAAATTAAGAGAGGTAACTATATCTAGCTCTTGAGCTAGAATCAACCCATATAAATATTTTAGCACCCGGTAAATAAGATTTGGGAATAAACACCCAATAAATCCAGAGGATTATATAAGTACAAATCTCTCATCAAAACAAAACCAATAATCATGAAAATAAAAGAGTTTGACCAATAAAAGGAATTATTTTCATAAAAGTTTAAAATATATTTTTCAAAACCAAGAAAAAGAAAAATAAAAGTACTAAAATTCTTGGCTTAAAAATTATTTTGGCACCCAAGTATTCTTGGTGCCGGTTTGTTTAGGGACATGACTCCTATCATTAAAGCTCAAAGCCCTAGGATTATGAACCATTTTGGGCACATGTAGTGCACTAACACGGTCAAAGCAATAATCACTCAAATAACCCTTCCAATTGCAATTTGTGCAATGAAAGAGATTCATTTGTTTTTGTGGACCATTAGCTCGTGCACGGGAATTATTTACAAATAAAGATTGTCTTTTAGAAATATTTTACAAATGAGAAACATCATTAAACAAGGGTGGTCTTTTTGGAGCAAATTGCAAATTTGGAGCATTTTGCAAATCAAAACAAAATTTAGCAAGATGTCCAAACCTACCACAAACATCACATTTAAAAACATGTGGTCTACTAAATACATTTAGCAACCGTGATTTTCTTTTCAAATCAAAACAATATTCGGCCAAATGACCAAAACGACCACAATGATCACACTTGAACACACTAGCATGCTTATGATGAACTTTGTGAGAATGAGCATGTGAATGTGTAAGTGTACAAGATGAAGAAGCTACATGAGATGCACAAGGAGACTTAGAATTCTTATGTTTGTGTGCATCATAACAAAACTTAGCTAAATGACATTGACGGCCGCATATAGAACACTTATAAGTTTTGCTATACATGTGTGCATAATGAGTGTATGATTTTGACTTAGTCTTGGCACACATATCAATAAGCTTCTTATGATTATTAATGCATGTTTTCAAAGTTGAATCTAAAGATGAAATGCATTTATTCATAAGATTCAATTCTTTATTTTTAGGCACATATGCATTTTTATTAGAAGTAGAACATAAATAGTCATTTATGAAGGAAGCAGTATCATTTTGTATGTTCTCTACTTCTAACATGGCATTATCTTTTTCATGAGTTAAACTAGCAACATTTGAAGTTAAAGAAACATGATCCAATTTTAATTTTTTGTTGTTTTCTTTAAGGATCACATTTTCATTAGAAATAGTTTCAAACTTAGATGCTAACAACTTATGATCGGATTTCAAATCCTCATGCTTGCTTTTTAAATCATTAAAATCATTTTACAATTTCTTGTAGGCATGTAATAATTTCTCACTAGCACAAGCAAGTTCATCACTAGATAAATCATTAATGGATTTGAACTCGCAAACCTCACTAGGGCTATCGCCTAGTGACCGTGTGCATGATGCTCCATATGAACTTGAAGCCGGATCCTCCAAAGCTTGTTGGATACTCTCCAAGTTTCCTTGATGCGCTTCTATGAATTTTCACAATGTATAAGCGCTATCAAAAGAATCAAACTTGTTAGACAAAAATGAATCAAATGTATTTAATAGAAATTCTAACATAAGCTTGTTCATAATAAACATCTTTTTATCATCTTTGCTCTACTTGGATTTCTCCAACGTGGGTACAATATAAGCACAATCAATGACTTCCTATAAATCGATATTTTTAGATTGAACAAATAATTTGAATCTAAAACACCATTGAGCATAGGGGAAAATATTAAATTTAGGAGCAATACTAGAATCATATCCATAATTTGTAAAAATAGGCAAGAAAGATACAAATGTAATCAAAATAAGATTAGCACAAATAAGATAACTTGGATCTTTAACTCAAGGTGGTTAGACCTTAAATCAAATAGCACCAAGCTCTGATACCAATTGTTAGACCCTAGAGGGGGGGTGATTAGGGTCTTATGCTAATCTAATCCAATTAAATATGATCACGGAGTTCGGACCATCCGTCCTACGTCTCCGCTCCCCACTCCCGAGGAGAAATCCACTATCATGACCGGGTTTTCTACGCTCACCCGAATAACGTTTACAACCACACTATGTCGGTTTTCAACGATCACCGATCAACGTATACACTCACTCACAATGTCGGTTTTCAACGTTCACCGATCAACGTCCACTCCTCACACTTGGTTTTCTAGTTCACCGAAAACCTTACAACATTCTCAATGTAACAATAAATGGTTTGTTCTCTCATACAAGGTGAGAACTCAATTAAGCACAACTCAATGTTACAATCTCTCACAACCCTAATATACTATGTATGTAAATACAAAAAGCTCAAGTGGGTTTGTGTAAACAATGAGTGAAATCAAATCAACTAAACTCAATATAAAACTAGCTTTAATAAAATGATAATCAAACAAATAGATGTAAAGCTAGAAATAGAGTTTAGAAAACTTCTCAATAGATCAAGAGGTAGAGGAAGAATAGTTGGATGCCCAAACACCAATAGATGATCTCCTCAAGCTCTTGTGAAATTGATTTCACAAACTCAAACTCTCAAATGCTTAAAAGCTTCTTAAAAAAACTTAAACAATACTTAAACCCTTGTTAAAACTTTGTTAAAACATTTCTTGGATGGTTATAAGTGTTGAGGGATGATGGGTGTTTATAAGAACTCAAGACAACAACCCAAAGCCAAAGAAAAGCCCAAAAAACGATGCAAATCCCCAAAAAATTGAAACCAGGAAAATATAGCCGTTATGCTACAGTAACTTTCACGGTCGACTGTAGCGGTCGACCGTGGGTACTGTAACAGTCTGGCAGATCTGATTTTTCTGCGTCTCTAGTTTTGTAAAATCTATTAAAAATAGTAAGTCAACTCCAAAAATCATAAAATTTTGAGGAATGTTTCTGGACATGTAGATGAACATGTTAGAGGAAGAATTTATAAAAAATAACTTCCAAGTTGAGAGAAATAAATATATGAACACAGATAAACAGTTTCTAAAAAAATACTGAAAACTCGGTTTTGTAAATTCAATTAAAAATAACAAAACAACTCCAAAATTAGTAAAACTTGGGGAAATGTTTGTATATATGATAATAAATATGTGAACAAAGAAAATTTTCAAATCTCATTTCCCAATTGTGAAAACGTATCTGTTTTGTAAAAACATGCACGGACACATGCACGTACATGAACAAAAAACTTGATTTTTCCAAAAACGAGTTCAAACAACTTGGAAACACTTTAAAATAGATTTGTAGACATTATACGAGATATAAAAATAGTGTGAACAAGTCTTCAATCTATAAACACAATATTTTCTAAATACAATAGAATATGAAACAAATAAAAGTGTATATGAAGATATATATTGTTTCATATCTACATAACTAAACCAAAACAACTTAACCATATGAAAACAAACATGTATATATATAAATATGTATTTATTTCATATTTAAACTTGAAAATCAAAACTTGTATTTATATATATGACTATATATATATAAAACCAAATACGTGTATGTGTGTATATGATTGAGCTTAAAGTATTGAACACACATAATATAAATCTAAAGTAATATACCCAAGCAATCTTGATCTTCAATAAGCTTGACTTGGTACACTATACGGATGAAGCTGAACTTGGATCTTGAACTTGAATTTCATAAGCTTCACTCCACAATTCCGCCAACCTCCATTTGATATGATTGTGAATGCTCGATTCCATCCATCCTCAAACTCATTGTTTGTCTACAATAAATAACAAAATACAAAAACTAGACAAACAATATTAAATGTAAATTGTTTGTTAAATCATCATCAAAACAAGAAGGCCAACAGGGTTGTTCTCACATAATCCTCATGTGCAATAAGGACGAGAGACGATATTGACCCGATAGTTCCATTCGATGAATCATCTTGTGCCTCTGTGGAAATTTGTGAGAGGCTTTGGGTAAGTCATCAGTTACTTATAGTTATCACTTGAAATGAATGATGAGAACCACTTATACTTGTCATTTTGATATTTAATTTGGACTTCTGCTATACATAATTAACATGTTTTGTACAGAGCCAAATTTTTGTCAATTGATACAAGTAATGTGTATTTGGCAGTTTTTAACTTTCTTTTAGTCTCAATTTTGTTTCATATGAGTAGGTTTAGAAGTGGTATTTGTGATGATAATCTCTATTTTTGGAAAATAATTTGACATCTTTCTATTTTTTTACCACACAGATATGGTATGCCCTGGGCAAAATATTAGCAGAGAAGGCAGCATAGGAATTTCCCTTCGTTAAAGAGCTAAAAACATTCGTTATTGTAAAATCTCTTATATACTTTTATGATAGTTTCATGTACCTTGCAAGAACTTTTTTTAGGCAATCACCTTCATTAACTCCTCAAACTCGAGACCATGTGCAGGACTAGATAATTATTTTTTGTAAAATCTCTTATATACTTTTATGATTGACTACTTGCACTAAAAATATGATTTTTACTCTCTTATATACTTTTATGATTGACTACTTGCACTAAAAATATGATTTTTACTTAATAAGATAATATTTGCTTAATTGATATTTCTTCTACTTGCACTAAAAATATGATTTTTACTTAATAAGATAATATTTGCTTAATTGATATTTCTTAATTATTTGATTTTTTTTAAAATTTTCAGGCTATCCATGCAAGATTAGGAGAGGGGGTAGCTCGAGTCTTCTTTTGACGATAATTAGAGATGAAAGAATGTGTCTTCCCTAAATTTTTATTTTAATTTGTTTTAGATAGTTTTATGTATTGTTCTTTGGAACAATTAGGATATTAACTCTTGTTATTAGTATTGAATATTTGAGGATGGTAAAATTTTATTTATTGATGTTATTAATGAATGGAATTTTTATTTTCTCTTTTATTCATTATTGGGTATTTTTAATATATTTGTGTTGTGAATCTTAGTGTTAGGTTGAGAATAATATGATAGTTGCCTATGAATGGAAAAATTATTATTAATGTATATTAGTAATTTGTAGTCTACAATGACGGTTTTATAAACCATACTTTGTTCATCAACGAAGGGAAAGCACCGTCATTGATGGGTTACTAATTACCCATTATGAGGACTTTTATGACGGTATGCAACCATTATTAATTAGTCTTCAACGGCGGGAAAATATCCCCGTAACTAATGGTAACAACGGAAAAATATCCCGTCACTGATGGTAACGACGGTGATAATTACTGTCATAAATATTAACGACGGTAATATGTTCCATCGTTATAGACTCTATAACGATGGGTAGTATATCCCTTCATGACCCTTTAGAGGGTTTCAACGACGGGCGACGAAGGAATTTTCCCCATCGTTAGCATATACTAATGAAGGTTTTTAGCTCTTTAACGAAGGGAAATCCCTTCGTTAAAGATGTAATTTCTTGTAGTACATTTGGACGACTAATAAAAATCTGCAATTACCTTTGGTCTGAGGAGGATAGAATCGGAAATTTATTCTTCTTTTTTGCTTTTTTTTCTTCTTTTCTTTTTTTTCTTTTTTTTTCTTTTTTTTTTACAACTGAACAAGAAACTCTCAAATGAGAGAAGAATAAATTCTCTTTGTTATTCTGAAATAAACAAAACAAACAATGTAACATGAAGTGTTCAACATGAAGAGCTCGTATTTTACATTGAATCCTACCTTATTGTTAAAAATTCTTCCCTAGATTTTAAATAAATTCAGATTGATATAACCAATAATATGAAATTCCAAGCATTTCAGGGAGTTCAGTAATTCTTGCAACAAAGTAAGGTAGGTATTATTGGTGTCATGTATTTTGTATTTCTTAATGAACTTGGACTCTTGTACTGTGAATTTTTGTTTTCTAACAACCAATTCTTTTGTAGCATTTTTCTCAACCCCAAGATTCATGGTTGAGTTCTGAAAATTTTTTTCTAACAACCAATTCTTTTGTAGCATTTTTCTCAACCCCAAGATTCATGGTTGAGTTCTGAAAATTTGGTTGTTGATTATTCTCCAAGAATCTAAATTCATCAAGAAAGAGTTCTTCAAAATTTAATTCAAAGCAGCAAATATTTAAGACCGTTTCATTATTCTCAAAAATCTGATCTGCTATTTCTAAAATTTCCAACTCCTCACCAAAAATTTCCTCAAAACTCAAATCAGACTCTTCTTTTTCTTCTTCTTCTTCTGATCTTTCCTGAATGTAATTTATTTCTAGAGGCTAATTATTTGGTTGGTCCTCTAGATTAAAAATGTTGAGATCAGCAGTCAAATTCCCAAAGGATAGCTTTATTTGACCAGTTCTACAGTTGATGAGAGCATTAGAAGTGGCTAAGAATGGTCATCCTAAGATGACAGGTGTCTGTCCTTTGGGATTGGAAACAGGCTGTGTTTCCAAGACTACGAAATCTACTGGAAAAATAAAATCTCCAACCTTAATCAGAACATCCTCTAACTCACCCATAGGGACCTTGACAGATCTATCAGCCAACTGCAAAGTGCAGCGGGTTGGGTTCAGTACACCTAGACCCAATTGCTGGTAGACTGAATATGGAAGCAAATTGATACTGGCCCCTAAGTCTAAAGGCGCATTATCAATGTGAGTATTACCAATGACACATGGAATGATAGGAGAACCTGGATCCTTTTGTTTCAAAGGTATGGGATTTGAGAGTATATCACTAATATTGGCAGCTAAAAAGACTTTCTTTGGAATGTTTATTCTCCTCTTCTTAGTGCATAATTCTTTCAAAAATTTGGCATAAGATGGAATTTTTTCAATTACATCTAAGAGAGGAATATTGACCTTAACCTGCTTGAATGTTTCTAGGATCTTCTCCTCTTGAGGGGAGTATTTCCTAGTCCTGAGTCTATCTGGAAAAGGAGCAACTGGTCTAAACCTATCAAAAGCAGGCTTAGGTTCGGGTTCGGGTTCTTGGTCATTTGAGGCGGGTGATTGTTGAATAGATTCATCAAAAAGAGAAGGAGAAGGAATTTGTATTGGATCAAGAGTTTATGTTGGAGGAGTTCTTACTTGATTATCGACCTGTCTACTTGATCAAAGTGAATGGATTGCATTCACTTGTGCTTCATAGGATGAACTGCATCCTGTGTCCTTAGGGTTGACCACGGGTTGACTCGAAAATTTTCCTTTCTCTTTTTCACTCACGGCACTAGCTAGTTGACCAAATTGGGATTCTAATCTAGCTATAGCTTGAGTGTTGGAGTTGAGCATTTGTCCAGTTGATTGCATAAAGGAATTCAAAGTGCTGGACGTTTGAGTCAACATATTCGTGGTTTGAGTGGAGGCCTTAATTATGGTTTCCAAACCCCATTCCAAGATATTGAGATGTTTATCCTGATCTGGATTGTGAGGAGTCTGAATTATAGCTTGATGAAGAGGAGACTGATTTGTTTATCCTGATCTGGATTGTGAGGAGTCTGAATTATAGCTTGATGAAGAGGAGACTGATTTTGATACAGCAGATTGGGCTGTTGAAATTATGGATGAGAATTGAAAGGAACTGTGTTTCCCTTAGGAAATTGTTGGTTTGAAGAGAGAGTGAAGTTTTGAGTTCCGGAGTGAGTTCCCTGATTACATGCAAAGTTTGGGAGATTCCTCCAACTTGGGTTGTAGGTTGGAGAGAATTGTTCATTTGCGTAACGCTGGAATGTAGCGTTGACCTGTCCTAATGGCTGATTATTTCCTAAGAGAGGACATTCTTCTGAAACATGAGATGGTGACAGACAGTTGTGACATACTGAGGCTAAAACATGATTGATTTGAGTCGGGGCTCTTTCCTTAATTTCTAAGGCTTCTAACCTACGCATGATTGTGGCCATCTTAGCTTCAGATGCAATGTTCGATTCCAAGGAAATACCACTGGACTTGGGTTGGGGAATTGATGACACTCGGTCATCACAGTGTTCCCATTGCATGGTTTTTTCAGAAAGACTCTCTAAAAACTCCCAAGTTTCATCAGCATTTTTCCTCATGAAATCCCCGTGGCACATTGACTCTAAGGAAGTTTTTGAAGAATAATCTAATCCCTCATAAATTATTTGGCACAATCGCTATTTTTCTAAACCGTGATGAGGACATTAGATGAGAAAATCTTTAAATCGGTCAAAATACTTCCAAAAAGATTCTCTCGAGACAATTTTAAAATTCATGATGTTATTTCTTAGCTTAACCGTTTTATGGATCGAAAAACATTTCTTAAGAAAAATGGTGATAAATTCCTCCCAAGTTGTGATGGAATTTATGGGTAAGCTGTATAGCCATTTTTTTTGCTTTGTCTTTGAGGGAAAAAGGAATAAATCTGAGTTTGACTGCATTTTTAGTTAATTCTCTTATTTTAATTATTATACATACTTCTTCAAATTCTGAGATAAAAATATATGCATCTTCAGTTTCATTCCCTAGAAATTTTGGAAGCATGTTGATATATTACGGTCGAAGCTCAAAGTTGGTTCCACTTGCCTCGGGGAGCCTAATGCAAGAGGGGATTGCATTCCTATTGGAATAGCACATATCTTGAAGAACGGGTGAATTAGAATATGCCATTTCTGGAATTTGTTCAAAATGAATTAATCAATGTGTATTATCCCTAATCCACGTTTGCATACACCCAAAACAACTTCTTTTTATAATTTTTTTTTAAAAATTAGTTTTTTTTTATGAGAAGAAAAAGGAAAATCCTAACTAAAACAAATCAAAAGCAATCACTTTTTAATCACTCTAACTCTAGGGTTAAGCCTAACTCAACTAGACCAGCTCCTAATCAAAAACTCCTACAGTGAAAATATTAAAGTTTTACCCGGGTAGTTAGCCAGGTAAGGATAGTACTAGAGGGTGATCAGAGATCAATTAAGTACTTCGTTCCTTACGGAGCACTTTACGCAACCCCTAAACCTTACCGTAGACACCAACTAATCCAAAAAACTTAAACCAGTTCACTTAAGGATTCTTTGTTCTTTATTGAGCTCGAATCCTTAAGGCCAACGTCTAATGAGTTTTATTAGGCTTGGGTGATGTAGTGAGAAATTATTGATTTTTGGGCTAAGGAAAGGGTGATGAAATCCCTCACCTTATCTTGATTATGGGGTTTTGTCCTTAAAAATATTTTTAGGTGTCTGTCAAATCAAGATGCTCAAATCACTTTGATGAATTCCTACTAACTATATGAAATGCAACCTTAGAAATTAAAAACGACTAAAAAGGATGGAAAAAAATCTTTATATTTTTTATTAGGGTTAACAATCAAACAACTATGAGAATGGTGAATATTGTTTGAGTTTATTATCTTGTTAGTTAATGTCCAAGTGAAAGGTGAATTTTATTATGGTCAACAAAAAAAAAAATCTTTTTTTTAAATCCTAATTGTCTC